CCCTAACTTTTGAAATCTATCTCAGGCTGTGTTACTGCAACCAGCGCCGTCTCGGTCAGTAAAGCTGCTGTTCCAAAACCAAGCAGTAAAGCTGCTGTTCAACTTCCTCTGTGTATACATTTGGCTGTTGCGCTAGTGGAGCTGGATCTACGTCCATGGAAAGACTCGGGCATATATTCAAGGTTATCCAGGCGTTGGCTGATAGACAGCTGGTGTAAACTGGCTGCTAGACGCAATGATTATTAAATAATGAATCTGTCCATTGTCATGATACCACGTGAACGCAGAAAGGCACATATGCATGAACCACAGGTATCTTTGTTCGCCTGTATCGTCATGCTACGTTATGACGGCCAGCAAACATGAACAAGCACGCCAACAAGTCCTCTAGCAGAAATGTGTCCACCTTCATTATGGACGCCATTCTCACACAGAAGGGCACGTGTGCCACAAGCTGCGTGAGCTCGTGGAACGGCTGGCAATCACTGGAGGGAGGCGCCTGGAAGTACTGCGACCCCAGCAGCTGTCTGCGAGAGGTGAGCTTGTGGTACGATTGCACGTCTTTCAGGAAAGCGCAGGAGGTGGCCGTGTACTGACGAGATTGTCGTCGCTGATGCAGAGTCCTCACTGCACAAGCAACGTACTCAGCGGCGAGTGTAGCCAGTGTTTGGGACGCTGCTGGATCATGTACGTCTTCCCGGGCGCCCGTGCCAACTCGCCGGGCAAGGACTTCCCTTGCGACCCACTCGGATGTGGCGGTGCCCAGGTTTTTTGTATGTTGGCTGTGTTGCTTTGGGAAGCTAAAAAAACGTATCAAAGATTTGTCTTAACTGTACTAAAAAACGTACAGCGAAGTGGGCAGAAGACTGTTCGCGCCTCCCGATCTCGTCTTGCATGCTACACGTCTGACATGCGTCGTGCAGTGAACGTCCAGTTCCCCTTCTTTGTCTGTATTTGTTACCGCAGTTAAGAAAGACCTCAAAGACGAACGTTACTATAGTCCGCATCAGTGCTCTGCTTCAGTTTGCATGCCTTGTCAGAAGAAGTCACATGTTCACCCGCAAAGGTGATTGCGATAGCAACAAATTGAAATCTCACATAAAGAACGGCAAGCCACTCTAAAGTTCTGCGATGTATAAAAAACTCCTGAACCTATTGTAAATCAATGAGCACGAGTGTATTTGATTGTGCAGGTGGCGGATACAAGTTTAAGGACGACTAGGGAGCCGGCTGCAGTGGACCAGGATTGGAAAAACATAATGCACCACTGCCAGTGAACCTCGATGAATTCTTGCATCCTTGCAGACGGTCCTGGGGATTGGCTTCCACAAAACGACGCCTCAGCATTGACGACGCACTGTGAAAGACGTCATTCATCGGGAACTGCTCTACATTCGAACCTGCCACTACCTAAACTTTTGAATCTTCTGTTTTAGTTAGGACATATACTAAGCACCGAGTGTAGAGATAGATCAATCTTATAAAACGACAAATGTGTTTTAAGTCATATTGCAGATGAAGACAGTCCAAAAAGTTTTTCACACAAACGGGTGTCGTCAAATGGTTTCGAAATCCACGTTAGCTCTGATGTCACCTCCCGTTGTCAAATTGCTCGTCAGTGGTGGTCGTTCGGCGCGTGCCCCAATCAGTGCCGATCAATCAATTTTGTGAAAGCATGCAACTCGTACATGGCGCCTTTCACACGCACATATGAGCGAGAACGCAACAAGCGCAAACACATCCATCAATTCGTAAATGTCGCGAAATATGCGTATTAGATGTGCCTCTATCAACACAGGCTGGTTCAAAGTGGGTGGCCTATGCCACGGTAGTACGCGACAAGTGCCTTAGTGAACAAAAAGAAGTGCCCGAGTGTATTGTAAATTGCTCAGCTTAAACAAGTTTTTAATCAGTCAGCCCTTCTTTGTGGGTCGATACAAAGTATTTTTTCCTGACATCAGGCGAAAACATTGCGACGACGCAAATTAACACACGATCTGAAAAGTTATAACGTGTCCCTTTGTGTAAAAGGTTCGCACTCAAGCTTTGATATATAGTCGATGTTAATCCTTAGCTGGTGCGCAATCCGATGGATCAAACGCCACGTTAAGCTCAGCCTCTCACTCTCGTGATAACTTGCTTCCTCTTGAAAAGTTTAGCCCCCCAACTCCTCCCCCCTTTTTTATGGGAAGATTAGTTTTATTGTAGCGAGGTGAGCCTCTCGGCTCTTTCATTGTGAAATAGAGCGAATGCTTCTATTAAAGTGCTAAATCTCTCCTTTTTGTGTTAATCATTTACTATACTAACTTGAATAGAATGGGTCCCCACCGGTTTAGAGGTGTATCTACAAACCTATATTCCAATAACGAATGTAACTTGCTTTTCATAAATGTCTACACCATTTTGTAATGAAATTATGAAATTTAGGCAGAATCCACCAATCGGAATGTAACTTGCTTTTTATGAATGTCTACCATTTTGTAATGAAATTGTAAATGTAATGTAATGCCCTACGGGCCCTGAGGGTATTCTAATAAATAAATAAATAAATAAAATTTAGGCAGAATTGATCAATCGGTAATGTTAAGCACATGTAAAATATGTAAATAACTACTAAGCGCGCTGTGACGGCCATGAAATATGAAGGGAGCGTGTTTCTAACAGGTACATCGAGTATACCATCGGCACCTGAGTGCTCACTCAAATTCTTGGTACATGAGTCCTCGGCCCCGCCGCGGTGGTCTAGTGGCAAAGGTACTCGGCTGCTGACCCGCAGGTGGCGGGTTCAAATCCCGGCTGTGGCGGCTGCATTTCCGATGGAGACGGAAATGTTGTAGGCCCGTGTGCTCAGGTTTGGGTGCACGTTAAAGAACCTCAGGTGGTCTAAATTTCCGGAGCCCTCCACTACGGCGTCTCTCATAATCATATGGTGGTTTTGGGACGTTTGCTTTGGTTTGGTTTGCTTTATTCAAGGCAAAATTGAGCAAGATTGCCTTGGGGGACACGACTAAAGGCTAAGTAAATGCCTGACTTGGTCGTGCCACCCTGGCAGCAAAGCCGAAACATACCGCAAGCACAGTAAGCAGAAAATTTCAACATCACGTGTTATCTTACACGGGTACCATAGTCGAACAGGAACTGCCAGAAGTGTGAATAAAGGAATAGATATATAGACAGTACTTATTCGAGTGGTGGCAAATACAAACAAAATGCATGTTTTCTATAAAATAAATTAACAAGAGACATCTTGACTAGGAAATGAGTTGCTCTACAAGACAAATTAGAGTATAATAAACAACAGGCAGAGGGACAATAATGAACAAGGGGCAACGAATACAAAAACATCATTAACTACAAATTTCAAAAATCAAGAAAAGCATCGCTTTCATCCACTAGAAACTCTTTCGTTATTTTTTAAAATGATCTAGCTGAAATTCCGTCTTCCAGTAAGTGTAATATAGTTGGGTGTTTAGAATGTTTGGAATTTGTGACGCTAATCGTTGGTCACCGCAGTTCGTGCGTGATCTATATTTGTACATTAGGCTCTTTCTCAGCTCGTATGGTGTTTGTTTCACATAATATGTGTCCAAGAATAGTGATTTATTTAGTTTATACTGGTGTAATATCTCTAGACATAGCTTTTGTCTGTATAACAGTTTTATAGGCAATACTTTGTACATTTAAAGTAAAGGGGAGTGTTAGATTGTACGTAGTGTTAGATATAGCACGTATAGCACGCTTTTGTAATATCAACAGAGAATTAAGGTTTGTGGTGGTCGTTGTTAGCCACACCAAAGAGCAGTATGTTAGTCGTGAATGTACTAGTGCGTATATAGTAAATTTGCAGCTTGACATTTGTTGGGACGTAGTATCTCAGTCTATTTAAAATGCCGATTCTCCTGGAAAGATTTTTTTTATCGCGTCAATGTGAGGAGACCAAGAAAGTTGTTCTTGGAATAGAACTCCTAGAAATTTTGTTGTTGTTGTGCGCTGAATCTCGGTGCTCTGGCAGTAAATTGGAGTGCATGGTATATGAGCTATTACTTTAGGCTTGAAAAACATGTACTTTGTTTTAGCGATATTCAATTGAAGTTTATTTGCGTTTAACCATAAATTTAGTTTTCCCATCCAAACGTTAGCTTCTTAATATAGTTCACATACGTTTCAACCTGCGAAAAATACATTTGTGTCATCAGCGTACAATATTATTTTCTTGTGTCCCTCGATATTTTCGATATCATTAATGAAAAGCAGGAATAGGATAGGTCCAAGAATCGATCCCTGGGGGACGCCATACTTGATGTGTTCAACTTGAGAGTGTGTATTATTTACAACAGTATATTGTTTTCTAGACGAGAGATAACTTTGTATTAATTGAGCTGTGGTATACCCCGAATGCCATAATACGGTAGTTTTCGTAAAAGTAGATCGTGTTGTATACTGTCGAATGCCTTTCTAAAATCTAGAAATATTCCTAGTGTAAAGATTTTGTTTTCAATGTTGTCTAGAATGTATTCTTTGATGCTGAGTAGAGCCGACTCAGCAGACTTGTTTTTGCAAAATCCATACTGGTCTTTTGCTATTATATTGTTTGCGTTTATAAAGCCCGTAATCCTCTTCAGTATATAACTCATTCAGCCATTTTCGCGAACACAGAGAGTACAGATATAGGTCTGTAATTGTTAAGCTCATCAAATGACCCACCTTTATGGATGGCAGTTACTTTCGCAAGTTTCATTCGATCGGGAAAAACACCTGAAGATAGCATCAAGTTATAAATGTGCGTAGTGGTGTAGCGATAATGTGACTTACAGCCTTTAAAGGCTTTGGCTTAATGTCATCTTAAACCCCACAATGTCACGTTAATGTCACGTTAAACCCCACATACCAACCAACCAACCATCAGTCGTCGTTAGTTCAATGGAAAAAAAATCCTCAATGAGGATGATAATAAATTGTGCTAATGCTGAATTTTAGCGTAGCAAATGATAAAATGGGGAAAGAAAGAACATTTTCGCTTTATTTACAAACGGATATATTTCCTAGCCTCGTCATTTGTACCACATTGTTATGTCTTGAGAGAGGCAGCACAGGCTGTGTTTCCACGCGTGACATGTCATACGCAGTGATTGTCGAAAGCGTATGAAGATAATGTAGCGCTAAAAAGTATTTAGTCTCACATCGTCCGCAGCTTTCGAGAAACCCTCACGCTCCGAGTCGCTGTCACCGAAAAGTTTCTCAATCTCCTCCAGAGTCTTGCTCTTCGTCTCTGGCACGTACACAACGAAAGGCACGAACGCAACCAAGACCAAGGCACCATAGAGCCAGTACGCACCGGCCTCGCCCAGAAAGCTCTGAATGTCGAAATGCTCCTTGACAAAGAGAAAGCCTGTCGCAAAAAGAAATGCCGTGCACACGCTCGAAGCCACGCCTTTAGCCTTTAGCGGGATAAGCTCCCCCATGATGACGAATGGCAGCGGGCCCAGGCCTAAAGAATGTCCCACGGCATACAGGGCGATGGCTAGAACCGGGAACCAGCCGTTCTCTTTGGAAAACTCTTCACCGTGCATGCTTTTCGAATGAAAGTACAGGCCAAGCAGTCCAAGACCAATCATGGTGATGACTGCCGACACGATGATCAGTTTTTTGCGCCCGGTTCTGTCAGCGAGCACCGTGGCCACAGCGAACGTCACCACGGAAATACCACCCATGATGATAGAGCAGTTATGGGATTCTAAGGACGTGCCCGCCTCGTCAAAGATGTCCTTGGCGTAGAAGAGCACGACGTTGACAGCCGCAGCCTGCTGCATGAACATGGGCAGAAGGGAGTAGAGGAACGGCTTGTAGATGTGTGGTTTTCGCATTTCGGCTAGCGTGAGAGCCGGCATGTCTGATGCACCACGCTCCAGAGAGCTGAACTCTTCACCGACGTGAGGTCCCTGGTAGAACTTCAGCGCTTCCAAGGCCTGCACGCGACGACCCTTCAAGATGAGCCATCGAGGAGATTCCTGAACGTAGAAAGCGAACGCCACGCCACACACGAAAGCTGGCGCGAGGCAGGCTACGGCGAGCCAGGTGTAGTGTAGCCACTTGCCCATGACATAGCCCAAGAGGATACCGACAGAGAAGAGCAGGTTGCAGCCCGTGTTCAACAGGCCTCGCATGCGTGCGGGAGACACTTCGGACAGGTAGACCGAAGTAGCAGGCGCTGCCGTGCCCATGCCTCCACCGGTCAGAAAACGACCGACCATCAGCCATGGCGTCGATGGGGCCAGGATGATACACAGCCAACCAGACACGAACCACAGGGCGACTGTGACCATGGTCTTCTGGCGGCCTATAAGGTTTACAAGTTGACCTGAAAAATAACAAAATCGATTTATTTTGCTGCAGTTCCAGGAGGACATATTTGATGGGCGAAGCGTAACATCTAGAAGAACGTTTAGTATAACAAATGCTGCGGTAATTTATTCTATCATACACATTTCGATACGACGTTTTCGTTTCACTCTGAAAATTCGGCAGATCCAATGTACAATAGGAACTGATGTTGTTTGAATTATGTGGAGTGATGGTGGCAGTGTGGTGTATTTTTCAGTGAGCGGAACGTCAGGGACGCTAAAGATATGTACAAATGTTTTAGGCACATACGTTGAGCAGTCGCACATATGTTTTATGCAACCACGTTGTTTGCTGTTGCGCAACACTGCCAGCGGCAATATGGGTATAGCGACAGCAGAAGTGTAAGCTGATATGTAGTGCTTATGCTCGCGAAAGGGGTGGCCCTAGGACAGGACTACGTCATTGAACCTAAGTGCATGGCGCTTATCTACAATTATCCTTAACCAGACTTGACACATGTAGTGTAGGAGTACTTATTTAATGTTTATAAAATTATATTGCCAGCCCAGCAACCTCAACTGACATTTCACTCACATTACTCTTATATAAGGTCTTTTTCAAAAGCAGTTCCTATACCTGGCATGACTGTGGTAGAATGCTTGATTGGCACCCAGAATTTATTTTTTGCATTCGTCAGATGAGTGCTGCTGATCTCAGATTCTGAGGGGCGAAGCTCCTTATGTTGTAGGGCGATCCGTCGTCCCTCCGGCGTACCCCCCAGTAGTGTCTCCCTTATCATACAATAGATGGCGCTGTCCCATAGAGGTGTATGCAATCAGCAGTGGGGTGACGATATACTAAATGTCGCCGTACGCATTCTGCGTCGTCATCGCCATTTCTTGTCAAGTTTCTTAGATGACGCTGTCCCATTGAGATGTGTGCAATACAGGCGGTTGGGTGAATGAAATGACTTTGGAGGTACCGCTGTTTTCCTATTGGCTGCAGCGTGGGGCTGCGCCGGCGCGCCCATTATCTCTCATTCTCGTGGATCGTCACCGTACGTGTCGGATCACGAGCTCGCTGCCGGGCGGATCAGCAGACGCTGCACGCCAAGGAAGCCGCTGAGAAACGGGCTCAACGAGAACAGCACTACGGAATGCGAGTGCGGGAAACGATGACCTTCTCGGAGTTTTGTCGGGCGAGATTTTCGGAGGATTTACGGTACCACCGAAAAACGTCCGGAGCTTTGCCCAGCTTTCTATCATTCACTACGTGGAGATACTGGATTTTTTTTAACGCTCTAGTATTGAAAAATCGCCTATGTGTTTTCTCGCTGTTTCGGTAAAAATGGTTCATATGTGGCAAGATTTTCACGTTATTAATGTCATCACTAGTCAGTCATATTCGTCAAGTCCTCTTACCTTCTCATACAAATTTTTTGTCTACACCAAGTTAAGGAGGTGATCACGAGAGCCACTAGACATATGTGGAAGGCCGGAAAGAAAGAAAGAAAGAAAGAAAGAAAGACAGACAGACAGACAGACAGACAGACAGACAGACAGACAGACAGACAGACAGACAGACAGACAGACAGACAGACAGACAGACAGACTGATGGAAAAGCTCAGTTTTTCGCATTTATTAACTTGGTTTGATCAGTAGGTACGGATCTTGTTATCCGTGGGGAACGTTGACGTAGACAGAAACGAAAAAGCAACCTTAAGCCAACTGCGTAAATGCCAGAGACAGGAGGGTCGTTCATAAATTGTGACTTGTACTGGAATACAACGATTTATTCTGTTTTGTATATCGATAACTGCGCCCCTCCCCTAAACGCACCTATGTTAAAGCTAACTGTTTCTGCTCACGGGAGCGTTTCAGGCAGGCGCGTAGCCAGAAATGTTTTTCTTTTTTTTTCGGGAGAGTGGAGAGGTCACCACCTTGATTTCGGGAGAGGCACCCCCTTAAAATGGTCATTATTCGCTCTCTATGCCATGGCGAAAAAAACTTCGGGGGGGAGGGGGGGCACGTGCTCGGAGTGCTACCCCCTAGCTACACCCCTGCTTTCAGGGATGAACATAGTAGTAAATGCAAGAATTGAAGCAGAAGATATGCGCTGGTGGCATAGATAATGCAAGATGGGCACAAGATAAAACACTTAGTCAGCTGAGGTTCATAAATTAGCATTTAGGAATTGTTGTCGCTAATTTTACCATTTGAGCTTCATTACTACTAGAGAGGTTTAAGGTAGAGATCGATTTTTAAAATTTCGCTGTATAACTGCAATGACAGAGTTAAACAAAAAACGTCAGACGATGTCCGTTTTTTTTTTTTTTGCGTGCGTAGCGTGTATTGTGACGACGTTGGCTTGCTTAACGTTCTCTACACTTCCCTTATTGCCTCCGTCGCTCCTAAAACACGGTATGCATCTCTTGAAGCTTTTTGCATCTCACGTGGTGTTTCATGCACAGCCTTCGAGATGGACCCACCCTTGACAAAGCGACGATGTTGTGTGATGACGTAATCACCTGATGTCACATATGTGCTTATAGTGATGTCACAATGTCGTAACGAAGACGTCATAGATTCTGCCTGTTGGTGAGGTCATTATGACGTTATCTGCGATCGTGTGTTTTTTCGAACCATTTCACCCTTACGCCGCAAAAGTGACTTCATACGTTTCAGAGGCACCAAAGGCGGAAAAGTGGCGTTAGTTGGCGCTTGATGTATCACTAAATCTTTACGTGGACACCACCGGAAAATTCAACCAGCCACGCTTCGGGGGCACCATTGAAACAGCGAAGCTGCATAGTGGCCTTTCCTCGTCAGGATAACGCGTCTATAGTTTTGCTAGTCTTACACATTTGTTGTATCACCACTTCTTATTGAACGCTCTTTGAGGTGGTGGTATAGTTATCGCATCTGTTATACTATACCACTGCTATACACAGCTTTATAAAGAAGCCTTAGCTTAAGGCGTTCCGGTGAAAGGCTCGACAAGATCGGCTTCATTGAAAGAAAGTTTTCGCTATCCTAAGCTGTTCGGGTGACCTACCTTCGATCAGACCACCCAGCACAGCGCCGGGCAACACGAGGGAGCCGAACCAGCTGACCTCGTCGTTTGTGAGGTTGAACCGCTTTCGGATATCGGGTAGCGCTGGCGACGAGTAGGCGCACATGAGCCCGACAGACATCATGGCGAGGTAGGCGGCAGCCACACAGATGGCAAGGCGGCAACGAGAGGCTGCCACCTTCGACACATCGCCGCCCCACTGGACCTCCGCTGTGTCGGCAGCTGCACGTTGGCGGGATGAGAGGAATAGGTTGGAAGAAATACAAAATTACCCCATTGCCTCACAATGGGAAAAGTGCAGAAACAGTGGGGCTGCGATTCAGTGGTGTTTCCCAGGTTATTTTCTGAAATCACTGTGCAGATACCACTTCGCCCGCGACTGATGCAGTTACACAATCTATGAGTGTGTCTGGCAACAGGTTTTTGATGAATGCCCTTTCCCGTTTCACAGTGTGGCAACTGCTTCTTCCACGACCTAGAGTTACTGTATATGTTGGGTGGTGGTACTGGCTAGAAGAGGAAAAAGGCGCCTAATTTCTGCAGCCCGGTAAGGGAAGCACGGCACAGCGCCTATATGTTTTGTACTTAGGAGAGCACAAACAGCAACTTTACCTTAACCGAAGCGGTCATATCATTTATGGTTGTACTGGGAACCGGTTTTTGAGGAACGCCCTACCCGCTTCGCTGTGCGGCTACTGCTTCTTCTGCGACCTAGATTTACTGTATAGGTTACCCTTGGGAGAGCATATACAGTAACTCTCCCACGACCAAGGCAGTCACGTGATTGTATCTTGAAACCGGTTTTTAGCAAACGCCTTCATCCATTTCGCTCTGCGGCTATTGCTTCTTCCGTGACCAAGAGTTACTCTATATCGTCCCCTTGTGGGAGCATATGCAGTAACTCTACCACGACCGAGACAGTTACGCTAGCTATTGGTGTATCTGGGAACCGAAGCGCGACATACGAATAGTCATCTGTCATGAGGACTAGCCGCAGAAGACCTCCTTTTGTTAGATCTTGGTATTGGTGAGACACAGACTCTGTTCGTAATACCCTGAATGTTACCGTGTGTTATTCTGGGAAGTTGTAAATGCCAACTGCGTTTGCTTGGAAAAAATAGATCTGCCAAGAACTTCTGGTTTTGTAGTCAACATTTTTGTGTCCTTGAAAGTGCTTCTTCATTCGCTTAGAACTTCTAATCGTGAGGGTGTGAAGAAAATATTGCTGTATAGCACCGCGAACTCCCATGAACTATGTGTGCTGTGCGCGAAATCATTGATAACTGCATTGCTTATGGGCCTTACTGTCTGGTGAGCATCGGAATATGCGACATTTCAGTTCGAGAGTGATGATTACAGCAATTGTATCTTCCCATGCTTATATAGATTACAAGAAAGTAGCAACAAAGAAGCTGTCCTCAATGAAAACTTTGCATGATAACCCTTTTGCCAAGGTCAGGACACAAATACTAAAGCAGGTCAGAATTTTAGTTTCCGGGTATATATAGCTAAATAATATTAACCAAAGGTGCTGATTCTTCCAGGGAAGAAATTACAGAGCATTCAACTGACGTTAAATATCATTTATGTGAAAAACAGTGGTCAACATTCTGTTTCATAACACATTCGGTTCATTGCACTTCAACCGTGATTGATTACGGTCAGTATAAATATATTTCACAAATTGACAAATGTCTAGAACAAAAGCACTGAAAATAAAGGTGAATGTTTGCACGTAAGGAAATTTTATGCGTAGTGGAACGACCGCATCCCCCAGTGGTGGCTTAGTGGCTCAAGTGTGACACACAAGGTCGCAGGTTTGATTCCCAGCCACGGTGGCCTCATCTCGCTATTAAGAATAAATGCAGGAACACCGGTCTCCGTTCATATAAGTCCATGTTACCGAATCCCAAGTCTTCACAACTTATTCATAGCCAGCCCACTAAGGCATGCCACGTAATAACAAGCATCGTTTTGGCGCGCAAAAACCCAGACTTCGTTTCAAATTTTCGCCACGATTGCACCGTGATTTACGACGACTGAACTTATACGCTTAAGAGAGGGTCAGTTGTTATGCGTCAGCATGGTCGAGATTCAACAAAAAAACAAGGACTCAATCTTGATTTAGTTAAAGAATTACAGCGAAAACACCGAAATTCGGTAGCCTCCAATTCAGCGACCCACCGCAAAACTGATTCAGTGGATGTTTCTCGCGTCAAAAGAATATAATAGTCGAGCCACTCAAGGTGGAACAATCTTAATCAAAGCCCCCTTTTGCAGTTTTCCCCATGAAATCCCACAGTCGCATAAGTGAAAGTGAAGGTTCCATACCTCACCATGCAGGTAGCTTGAACATGAAGCAGCACTGGTACTTTGAAAGCAGCTAATTCCAGAACTCATTAACGCAACACAGCCCGCATGACTCCAGTCATACCAAAAGAGCCAGGTTTGTACTGCTCGTTTTACTAAAACTAATCTAATTGGGATATGAACACTAACTGCCGAGTTTGCTCATTTTAATTATTCGCGCTTACCATTCAAAAGCTAAAGAGGCAGGGGCTGATGATGCCCCATAAGAGAGTGCAGGCAATGTTGCCTGCGATGCAGTAACATACCCGATATACTGCGGGGACGCCAACACAGGCACGCATCCGTTGTTTTAAGATTGCAAAGGCGAAGCATGGTGAATACTATTTACTTGATTTAATAATAAAATTTTACGTCCCCAAACCACATTATAATCGTGAGGGATACCGTAATCGAGGGCTCCGTAAATTTTAACCATATGCTGTTCTTTAACATGCGATGACATCGTAGTACACGGGCCTTTACCAATTTGGCCTCCATCCATGTGCAAACGTCACGGCTGGGTTCAAACCCGCGACCTTCTGTTGAGCAGCCGAGCATCCCAGCCACTGATCCATCGAGGCGGACTTAACACTACGTGCCTCTAGTATAAGAAGTACTTGCACTGTGCGTGTTTTTTACAATAATATTAATCGTCGTGGCCTCCTTAACCACACTCCAAACCCTTATCAAGCTCTTCTTTCAACGGTAGACGCTATACATTTTTATCAGAATGCCCCTGCGCTATTATCCACATTGCTTGCCTCAGAGTTCGTTTCATTGTCGCGATAACCCCCCGAGTTCATCAGAAACATGCGCAGACACCCTATAGAAGAGATAGGTTTGAGGCGTAACACTTCTAATCCGTAGTGATGACATCGGGCTGCCTCGTCGCTATCGTCCCCCATTTGTACGTTTGGCTGGGCGCAAGTCTTATACTCAATAAAAAGGCTTATGTCCGCAAGGCCGTCTCATGATTGCCCGCCTCTTAGCTTTGTATTCCATGAAGTGACAACACTTGCGCAGAGGTACTTGCACTTGCACAAAGGCACAGCACTTGTACAGAAGCATACTAATACACATTTTCGCCCATAACCAACCGGAACTGACAGAGGGCCCTGTCGCGGTGGTCTAGTGGCTAAGGTACTCGGTTGCTGACCCGCAAATCACGGGATCAAATCCCGGCTGTAGCAGCTGCATTTTCGATGGAGGCGGAAATTCCAATGCCATTATGCTTTGGGTAAACGTTAAAGAACCCCAGGCGGTCGAAATTTCCGGCGCCCTCCACTATGGGGTGGGAATTACTCTCATCGCGTCGAAAGAAACTGCGGCTAAAGCTCCTGTACCAAATATTTCATGGTAAAACCGGCATTCGAATAGAAAAGTACCTTCATTGTCCTCATTATATATCTTCGAGAAATTATCATTGCTCAAGATTTCAGAGTACCGTACCAGATCTAATTTGTATGCTAATTCGTTTTTTGTTCGTTCTATTAGAGAATGGAATCACTTATCAAATGAACAAGTGTGCTGTATTAATGAAGATGTGTTTTTCTCCACATTGTAACCCCCCTGCTGCAGCGCCTTCGGGCTAAGCGGGGTAATCATTGAATAAAGAATAAGGAAATGGCGTCTCTCATAATCATCTGGTGGTTTTGGGACGTTAAACCTCACCTATCAATCAATCAACCAACTGACAGAGCCTTTCTTTCGCTCATCATAAGACGGTTTCCCTGGAGACCTCTTTGTGGTATGCCTCGAGTCTGCTACGACCTGCGCATCTTTCTCTACAATGATTCCAAAGTGACGCCTCCTGATCTTACAGCGTGCATGTTTGACGTGAATACGCTGCAACTTTCTCTTTGTTTACTGGGTAGAACCAGGCGGAGGTGTTATGTGCGTATGCGTAAACAGACATCAACTTCACGGTGAAATAAAACATTCATGATAAGAAGCAACGCACTTTACATTGACGCTCAATATCAAAGGATAATATAATAAACAGTGCAGTATTACATCTCAAAAACCACGATATATTTATGATAGACGTCGTAGCGAAGGGATCCGGAAAGTTTGATCAATTGGTGTTGTTTAACGCGCAGGTAAATCTAAAAATACAGGCGTTTAGCATTTTCCGTCCATCTAAATGCCCCAACCGTGGCACCAGATTTAATACCGCGATTTTAGGGTCAGCAGCCAAGCACCGTGTGACCACCAGACGACCACGGTGAGTAAAAATCAACACATTAAAAAAAAAAAAAACTTTGCTCGATGCCAAGGACTGTGAGGCAAATGTGTGAACCTGGTTTTACTGAACTTAATCTGAACAGAAATAGCATTTTCCGAGCATGACTAAATAACAGAGCAGTAACTGGTTCTACGCATGCACTAACATAACCTTTATAGTTTAACGAGTGCGGGTAAGTTTCTACAGACACGAATCACATAAGAAAAAGCCGGGACGCATCTGTCATACAGGCAGAACAAAACAAGTACAGCATACGTAGCTTAGCAACCGGTGCTTACGGCACCGGAAAGGGCATCGTGCTTCGGTAGCCTCGAAGAGTGATCGTCGCAAATGTAAGGAATGCTTTTTCCTGTAAGTCGTTCTGAAATACAACAATACGAAGAACATCTGTCGAAATCTCCCTCCCTCCCACCACATCTTTCGCAGATGGGCTTGAAACTGTCGGAACAATGTTTGCACTGCCCCCTGATGCGTGGTGAAATTGATATTCTTCATCAACGTTAGATCGATTTTCTGTAAATGCCTACGCAGATGTGTACAATGAAGAAAGGAATCTATTCTGTCTTTGCTTTGAAATACGCGCAAAGTATATATATATATGCACTATGCCCACTTGTTTGGCTAACGAAGGCTTGGCTACGGATTTGGCTTAATGTTATCTATTAATAATGGCGGCTATAGTTGTCGTATTTAATAGCAACAAAACGTTCTACTATGCTACTAAAAATAGGCTGTTGGCCCTCTCAGAAGAGTACTTACAAAATTTCGAAGGGGAGGTAACTTTTGAGATACGTGTTTGTGTACGCACATACATCGTTAAGAAAATATAGACAGCACTTGCAGCTCAAAATATACTTAAAATCTATTTCGCGGTGTTCACCACACCCTTGCAACTGAAGTGGAGCACCTTCCGACATCGACATCAACTTGGTCCGAGTCCGAGTCGAGTGTAAACGACCAAAAAGAAGCTATATGCCATGAGCTCGCGTTGCTTTTTGCGGAAACAGCGTCTCGTGTTCTGCTCTTTCAAAGGAGCTACCGAGGGAGATACAGCACTCAAAACATCAAGTATTTTGAAGTTTTTGCGATTTCCCCCTCACATAAATTTCTTTCAATGTATTTTTAAATAGCGGGACATTAGCACGCGATACGTCATCAGGCAGCATTTATAAATTTAAGATGTCTCTTGTCTAACCTTACCAAAACGCACTGTGCATTTTCGGAGAGTATTTAATACACTGACCATGATTTCAACCAGTAAGCTGCGTTATGACAGTCAGATATGTCGCTGCGTCATGGTGATGATGACTAGCGCCTAGGAATGTGTTAATGAGAAGCTGCGTGTATACCCTACTGTGCACAAGAAAATTCTTGTATTACGATGACATTTAAGCCGGGCCATCGTACGCGTGCGTCACGCAGTTCGGCCGCCCCTTCAAACAAACAATGCCTACCTCGGGAAGCACGCCACAATGTGGTCACGTGCGCATGACTGAGAAAAATGACTGCTGTCAGAAAATCAGTCGTAGGGGCTGAGCAAAGCATTCGGATACAAGAGCAACGCCGTGTAATGTCATGAAGGGACACCAACGATAATGACTTGGTTTAGATTAATAAACTGCATTGATATGTGGGGTTTAACGTCCCGAAACCTCCATATGATTATGAGATACGCCGTAGTGGAGGGCTCCAGAAATTTCGACCGCCTAGGGTTCTTTCACGTGCACCCAAATCTGAGCACACGGGCCTACAACACTTTCGCCTCCATCGAAAATGCAGCCGCCGCAGCTGGGATTCGATCCCGCGACCTGCGGGTCAGCAGCCGAGTACCTTAGCCACTAGAACACCGAGGCGAAACAAGATGATAAACTGCATTCTAAGAGCTTTAATGTGATAGGTTTCATTATCATAAGTTCATTATGAGCGAGGAAAATCAAGGTCGAAGTTTCAGTTCCTTAAATTCCTTGCAGAGATTTCCGCACGTGACGTCGAAAATTTCGAAATAGATTTTTCGCATTTTCGCGACATTGGCTCGAGCAACCTTTCTGAAACATTCGTATGCTAGAATAGATCGCATGGCAACGTACTTCATTTTAATTGATTGGAAGCCACATGGGGCCCAGCAGATGCCTCCAGAATCTACGACGTCACAGTGTTTCGTGCGGGAATCCCAAGGTATTGTCTCCACGTGTATTTTATTATCACGCGTTTTCTCGCTTCCCAGTTACGTCGTCTCGCAATAAGACTGGTGCTTTTGGGATTGTGAAATCGCACATTATTAATACACGAAAAATCTTTTTCTCTTTGGTGTCTCTTTAAGATGGTCCTAAAAACAGATCGGCTCTTTACCGTGAGTAGCGTACGGTGACCAAGTGATACGCTATAAAGATATTATGTGTTCCATCACCATTACCGAACACAGTTATCGTTTACCGGCGTTACTAGGCACATTTTATCGCCACTAGGGCCTATCCTGCTCTAAATTCTCCCGTGGTGGTCTAGTGGCTAAGGTACTCGGCTGCTGACCCGCAGGTCGCGGGTTTTTATCCCGGCTGCGGCGGCTGCATTTCCAATGGAGGCGGGAATGTTGTAGGCCCGTGTGCTCAGATTTGGGTGCACGATAAAGAACCCCAGGTGAGGAAATTTCCGGAGCCCTCAACTACGACGTCTCTCGTAATCATATGGTTGTTTTGGGACGTTAAACCTCACATATCAATCAATCAATGATCTGAATTCTTTATCGCGATAAAATATGGTCGTCGTTCACCCTCCAAACTAACAAGAATTGAGTTTAGCGTCTTCAGCAGTCAAATCGCGATTTCAGAACAAGATCTTGACGCGCAGGTCATAGGCATATTGATCCAGATAAGACCAAATTGCGAATAAAAGTGGCCCTGTAACAGAACTGATCCGGATCAAGCCCAATTCGAATCAGCCCTAATCGCGATCAATATTACCCATGTAACACCGGTATTGTTCATTTGATTATTATATTTCCGCTACTATCACATTTCGCCTGTCTCACAACCTTAATATAGACCCATTTCATGTTTGTAAACAGTGGTAGGCGTCGTCGACATACTGAAGCGGTTGTAGCGACGTCGCAGCGCTTATAAGGCTCGACCCAGCCCAAAGCTCGCTACTAGCCTCTACGATCGCGTGACAACAGGCACAGCGGCTGCAAGGCTGTCTCCGGGCAGAGCGCGTCGGTGGCGAGCTTCGGGCTGGCCGGTGCCTGCGTGCCGCGAAGTCGCTATACAAGCACCTCAGTCATGTCGACGACGCCTACTGCTGTTTGCGAACACGCAATATGTATACAGAACGTAATGCAATCCGATTGATTTGGCGTCCCGCTTCTCCCTCTCTATCTAGAAAAAGCTAGGCTTTTTTTTCACTCCTTTAATTGCTCAGACTACTATTTTTTTTTGCGTGTCAGTATGTTTCACGTAATATGACGGCAGACCTTGATTTACTCTAAAATATGAATGAAAGCCAGAAGATAATCAATGAAGCTAAGTAAGATATAAGGGACCACAATTCTACGGTTTTAATTGTATTGTAATAAATGTAATAAAGATGTGAAGAAAGTAGAGTGGACGAAAAGACAACCTGCCGCCGGAAGAGAATGAACCTGTGACCTTCGGATGCCTAAAAATTATCGTCCCCTATTCCTTTCTTGGCTTCGCTATCGGCTGCTTCTAATTAAGTTGTGTCTAACAAGGACAAACGAACCTTCCGAAGTATCCCTTCATTCACTGAACATGTTGTAGCTTGCTTTCGGGATTATGATTTGCGCGCTAAACTTAGGCGATGTACGTATAGCTTGCCACCCAATCACAGAACGGGTAGTCGCGTTAGGAGTCTTACAACATGGAAACAGTTGGATGCACGCCACTCATTTCGGAACAGTGGTTTTCAACACCCCATCGCCAGTGCTTCAGACGCACTAAAAGTCTGCACTTGAACAAAATTAGCAGTTATTCCATGTACGAATACAATTGATGGCGAATCTCCTTATGAATGGGACGAAAACGACTACGCACCCGATCTCGCTGCCGGCTCTCATGAAAGCGGTAGGGTGGGGCAATGTTTTCAGAATTGGAACAGTGTCACAGTTCCGCTGGCGAGCCGGCACGCGTGGCTGACGCGTGAACTTACAGCGCTGCTGTTCCACTTTGCATCGCTTGCTGTGTACCGCGTTATCGGATACGGCAGCGCTGCGTTGCTCTCAATGGCGCGTTGCTGAAGCCAATCACGGAGGTCACGCTCATGCCGCAGCGAGCTGAGGTGCGCGAGAAGTGTACTCTTGCGACGCGTTGCATTTTCCTCCCTGCTTGGTTTCTCAGTACTCAAATCGTGATTTGCGAACACGTGAGGCATGCTGCAAGATGGAACTGCAGAGACGCTGCCTTATCAGAGCCGCTAGTTCTTGCGTCGGCCGTCACGTTCGCCTCAGAGAGTAACCATCTATGGGGAGCCTTCGACACGGGCTTAGTTCTAGAAACGCTGGGGTGGGGAGCGGTGACACCACGGAGAGCTATAGCTTCGATGACGGGGAGCGGGCCTAAGGAGCTTCGCTCCTAAATATGTATAATCATGGCGACAAACTTCGGTCCGAATAGAAAACAGATTAATCGTATTGCGGTTTCTTCGATGCCACAATCGCCCGCGCTTGTCTGGACGGCTGCAATAGTTTTAAATTCAGGCACACTGCGTGAAAAATTGCATTGTAACGTACTGAAGACTGCACGACAAAAAGAGTTTTCCCTCATAACGCCGTACACGTCACGTGTATATTTTTCCCCTATCGTTTACAAGCCATGTACCTCGCAGCTTCATTATATTATTAGAAATGACCCAAATTGTTCAGAAAAATCACACGCCTGTCCACACTTAAAAAAAAAAAAAATCTGCCAACGTCCCCGCCTAGCACAATGTAAAAACAATTAAGTGGAATGACGAAGAAAAAAGAACGAAAATTACGAATAATAGGTGATAAAAGAAACGCTGCAGTAGTACGTAAATTAACTGCTTATAACCCCAGCCATCAGATGCACTATCACGCGTTCGAAGTATACGGTATGAGGACTTGCGCATTTGCTTATTGAGTGAGCCAAGGGACAGTTAAGGGCTGCCGATGCAGTATTGAAGCATTTCAGTATCACAACAGCGTATCACTACGGCCACGTCATGCAACACGAAAGAAAGAAAACCCGCACTCTCACTATGAAGAAGCAGTAGGGAACGAAAGCTGTAATAACCAATAAAAACCTGACTCACGGTACGCGACAGCCGTGTATGTAACAAAAGTAACAAAAACGTCGTTGTCGTACCTTTCAGCAAACCTGGCGTGTAGTCAGCACTGATCGGTTTCTCCGAGACAAGCATGCCGTTAGAGGCTGAAATTTTCTGCACCGACATGGAGTCAACACTCTCGATTATGGGCGAGTCTTCATCTCTGTCGCATCTTGGTGTGCGCGGTTCCCGCATCTGGCGGAGGAGGGGGAGGGGAGCACTCAAACAGCATCAAAGATAAGGCTAGTATTGAGAAGGAATTCCAAAACTGACGACCCATTGTTCTGTGGCAGCCCCGTAGAGAAGACGGCACTGTGTGCAGGGCATGACTGAGTATTGGGAGCAACACACGAGGATAATCATTGACGGGTGAATGTTCGATGAGTGCGAAGATCTATCGACAAGTCCGTATCACTTACAACGTTGAGCAGCTCAACCCACTGACGATAGAGGTCGTAACGAGAGCGCTCTTCGGAAGTGGGTGAGAAGATTTTACCCTGTGCGCTAATCGACTGTATACAGGCGATATTTCGTTTGGATGCTGTGCTAGTTGAACGCCGTACGGAAGTCGATGGCACTAATAAACGCAAGCGATGAGCTTCCGATTGGTTGACTGTCACGAAGACGTGGTTCAGCAGGTGCCTATTGAAATGTAAGCATGAGCTTTTTAAATGTATGAAATCGAGAAGTAGGAGACATTCTTCTCAGTGCAGGTGAACAATCAGGGTACAGCCTAAATAAACCCTCCACATTTATTGGTATTTTCGTATTCTACATGTATGATTGTCTGTCATCGCGCTGCTTTTCTAACATGTATAACGAGGTCGGGACCTCGTCAAGCTGTCGGGCTTTTGGTATTATACTACTTTTATTGAAAGGAAAAAAAATATATTGATTGATTGATTGACGTTTTTTTTTTGCTGCAGTGGTAGGGTTTAACTTCGAAGTTGTGTGATACTGTAAAAAAAAAAAAAAAAAACGCCACCAGTTTGTGGGGAGTGGCACATCCCCTGGCTCCCATTGTTCAGTCGGGGGTTATACTCGCTAATCGCTTACGTTGAGCATCGCATTATTGAGCTTCTAATTTCGCCCAGTATTGGTCGTTCGCACTTCTTTGTGAAAGAAGTGTGTATTTTGTTAAAGGACTGCAAACAATTTAGATAAGTGTGAATGATGTCAACAAGTGCGAACTTTGTAAGAGAAGTGCGAACGGGTGCAAGCTCCCCGGGCGTTCTCACTATGCTATGTCGAGCCTACTTGTCACGCACTGCAGTGCCAGCGCCGTGCCTATAGACTCCGCAGACGAGACGAAACAACAAGCATGAAACTCCTACGGTCACATTTTTATACCAAAGCTATGTGTATGCCTAGAGTACTTATACGTCTGGGTGCAGTACAGAGGTGATATGTAGCTTTACAAAAATGAATTTAGACAGTCTATAGAGGGTTCTATAGAATTATTGTAAACAAACGTATTTCTAAGTAGATTTAATATAGTGTTTAAACAAGAATTATTGACAATTCATTAGTGAATGTGTACAAATTGCATGTTATCTTTTAATTCTATTCCATATGTTGCCTAAGAACCAAAGGAAAAAAGTGTTATTTTTCGTTTAATTGTATGCTACAGATTGTCTATAAACAAAAAATCAGACAGCCAAGGTTTTTATTATTCGTCTATATACAATCTAATGACAAAAATTGATACATCTGTCGGTGAAATTTCAGACTATAGATTCTTGATAAAAATTATTCATATGTTGGATTTTATTAGTTCAAGATTAGTGTATAGCAAACCTATAAGGAAAAGCCAATATGTTTTAGTTACTTCTATTTGTCTAATTCCAGGCCGTCAACAAAAAATATCTGATTACGAGTTTCTTTTGTTTTTAATACCTAATTTATACTGCCTAAGAGCAAGGTTCATGTGGATTTTCTTGATCTTCTTGTCACGTCTGAGGTTTTCCACTAAAATTTCACCAGACATGTGGGCATTTTGCGCAGTCTTGCAACATTTTCGTCCAAATTCTTCTATTAGCCCCCTTGCTCAATGTTCCATCGCGTCCTGTACGCTAGGTTTCAAATAAGCTAAGAGGACCAAATTTGATCGACTGAACCACCATACTCCAGGTTGGACAGGCAGTTGCGGTTTTAAACTTTGTGGGAAGTTCATTTGGTGTGCTTTTGCTTCTATTCTACCATTATGTGCCACTGAACTCCGATTTGAGCTTCTGAAAGCGAGATCGTGGGTCAAAGCGTGGGCATGAGCATAGGCCTCCGCATGGGGAGCGACCACCTCGTCTAATCATCTAAGGTAGGCCGAAATGTCTTCGTCTATATTTTCACTCAGTCATACGTGTTCCGTCATCGTTTCAAGAGCAAGGTTATGGCCCCGCAGCTTTAGTCAATAGTGGTGGTGGAAGGCTTTTGATGCTGCATCCAAGAACTGTTTATTTTCCATTTCTAGCTCGGAAAGCCAAGAACCGAAGGCAGACTATTGTGAGAGAAGTTCATCGCGTTATAATTATTTTCTCGTCCGCTGCGAAGTACGTTGTTTTTCGAACCCTGCGCATGTTGGTGGGCGCGGGTTGCTTACTTCTGACTCTTTTGGGAGCGACAATGCTGATGAACACATAAGGGCCTCGTGAGTTTTGTCTCGTGTAAAAGGTCTGGCTTTTGAAGAACATGGTCATTGCAAGTACTGCGTACTTTTTACGCCTTTGTTGCTAAAATGCAAACAGCAACATATTTCACGGAATGCTGAAACGCGCAGCTTTGGAGCGGGACAATGGGTACGCATTGAAAACAGCATCTGAACTCTTTTTCAAGACGCAGCCTTTATATTTGTGTTACAGTTCAGTGAACATTATTTTGGAATTCCTTTCCTATACGAACCAACTTGCCCGCAAATGAATTTCGTTATAACTATATTTTGTAAATTACCTGTCACCCTTCGCTAGTTCAATAATATTTGTTCATTTTCACGACGTTTTCAAAACGTAATACGTTAAAATTTTCTTCAACGAATATGTATTTGTCTAGTTTTTATTACGACAAAAAATACTACTCTGTGGAATTCGTTGAATGTTTATGTATCTGTAATACCCGAGTGCGTTAGCCAGAGCACCTTCTAGTCAAGGGGGTCACTGTGGATCGAGCATTTTTTTCGTGCCAGAGAGCGCCATGTGAAACGCGGTTTTTCGACAAAATGGCAGTTGACCTATAAAACGTCGCATGCGGACTTCAGGCATTAAGTCTGCCCGGGTGAGGCCAGCGCTCTGAATGAACGAAAGAAAAGATATTTTTTATTGTCTGGTTTTCTTGTGAAATACAACAAAGTGAATTGAAAAGACCCCATTCTTTCGTAGACACAGCGAAAGCCTCGACGCAGTGGATTTGATGCCTCAAATTAGTATGAAAGAGTTTATTGGTCAGCTGCCATCTGGTGCGATGATCACGTGTCTCGTTCGAGTTCGAGGTTATGCAACTACGTGATAAGTACTTGAAAACACACTCTATATGAGTTTGAAGCAAAGGGAAAAGCTGCACGTCACAGATTGACTGGTATCTTCACACAAAAAATTCTGAATTACAAAATTACAAAACATTACATGCAGCGGGAAGTGACAATAGAAAAAGAATGCACATGTGACACATGACAGCAAATAATAAAATAACAACTCTGATATACATACATAAAGATTCATTAAAGTCAATGCATGAAGGATTGAAATTAAGTAACCATTACAGAAATCATTTAACATTCAAGAACGCAATCAGCACATTCAATTAAACATGTCACATTTAGACAATATACGCAGATTATCAATTGGTAACTTACATTTGTTCGTCGCACTTGGAATACTAGCGTAGCGTTTTGAAGCCATGTTACATGCCAAGTCTACGTGTACCAAGTAACGTGACTGGCACGATTAGATAGCAGTGGTGCATCTTTTAAACCGAGTGCCTCTGTGGAGTCAAAAATAAGGTACTTCAAACCATGAAACACGTCCTAATGCTTTAGAGGGGCCTGAGTTTTCTTTATATTCGCTTCCTTTTTTTCATTACCTGTATTATAAGCAGAACGATGCGTGATTCTACGAGGTTCGGATCAGCGTTGTACAGCAATTGTTGCTTCTCCGTTTCGTTGTTTTCTAACTGCTTCACTGTGGAGAGGTCGAGGTTCATATTACCTCGGCTAATTCATATCAATAAGCTCTGCAGCAAAAGATAAAAAACAACAATGAATGATACCAAAATAAAAAATGAGCAAAAAAAGGTACACTGGAAACAGTGAAAATGTTTCTTTCTCAATTGTTGCCTCTAGATTTTCAGTCTTTTGTTCATACTTGATGGATTTATTCCCCAATCCTACTGTGTTTTCCCTGAGGGCACTGACAAAGCTGTCCTTCCATGTGAAGTAAATTATTGGTTCATGAACTGTGACAAAATACAAAATATGCAAGCACGCCTTTCTAGAAATCCCAAAGAAAGGTTTGACTTGCGTTTTGCCCATCCTAAACAAGAACCAAGGGTGATTCAATCATGGAAGATTCACAAGCATAACTGTGAGGGACAGATTTGTTAGGCATTGTTTGTCATCTCCATAGTTTGATATCAAGTGGTTGCGTCAGCTTCGCGTTAGTGTTCATTTAGTCTTTCATTGCTTGATCTGAGCTCTTTGAATTCCATAATGTACTTTTTTTGGTTTTCACAATTTTAGCCACCTGGTTGTAGTAAGAAGCACTGATGTATTATATACTCTTCATCAAGGAGTGAAACTGCGACGGAGTTTCCGTTCTGTAGTTACCAATGTCAAGTTGCACTGCAGAATCGCCACATTTGTCGTTAGTGTCATCTCTACCGTTTCTGTGAGTGTTGCTGCCGGTCATCTTTAGAGCGCTTAAGGAAACAAGGTCAGTGAAGACAAAAACGAAAAGAATACAAATTCAAGTGGCATGTTGACTCTGCTCGACCTTAGTGTCCACGAAAAAACTGTATATTATAACAAAACTAAAAGCACAGAATCGTGTGCTTACCTGCAAGATAAAAATGATGCAAATTAGGACATGCACCATAGATGTCCCGCTTGCACAAGCGGCATTCCTGTCAAGCGTGTGTCAGTGCCATCGAAACGCTGTAGCAGACGTTGATAACACAATGGAAATACGTTTAGTCCAACTGCAAGATGAAATGATGCGGATTAGTGCATGCACTGGTCACGCGCTGACAATATAGCTCGGCTGGCTACTCACCATAGTGTCCAACAACGGGAGGGCAGAGTCTCTAACCATCTCGGATATAGCGGGACTGTCCCGACGTTTCACACAACGTACCTAGTCATTATCGGAAGACCTGTATGTCCACGATTTGTTCCGCACCGTCCACTTAAAAATTGTTATGTGGTCCAACGCACGCCAAACAAAGCGCGTCGCACAAGAAAGCACGAAATTCACGCAAAGAAATGTGTGAATTCACACAAAGAAATAGTGCACACGAAGAAATGTCAAGGCGACTGCGAAGCGCTTTAGCCACTTCAGATTAACTTCCGTGTAAAACGCGACAACATTAAAGAGTACATCCTCCAACAATAGGAAGTGCGGTGAACAGCGCGTAGCCAGCTCAGCTACCACGTCAACAAGCTACAACAGTAAAGTAAGTATAGCTCTCTTTTCAAAATGCCACAATAAAGAAAACTGATTACGCTGACTCCCTGCAACAGCGTGCTACCCCCCCCCCCCCCCCCCCCCCCCCCCCCCCCCCCCCCCCCCCCCACCGCCTTCGTCCCGATCACCTTCGTTGAAGAGCTGCCATAGATGTTAGCCGTTCGTCACCGCTATAACCTTACTGTCCTGGTTTCACTTCCACAGAGTTAAACTTTAAAGTTGCGCTGCCAGCAAGTTAAGTTATAGTGTATACGATTCGATATCCAGTAATTCGACGAATTCGCAGCCTGACTTAAGTGCAGTGCTCATATAGTGCCATACTTCGCGCGTATTTGAATGGGTGAAACAATGTAGAGCTTAAGCGTTAAGCACTTTACTTTACTGGGGCTTTTTTTCTGTCTTATTCCAGCTCGTGGCACCCATCGCACAAGTACAATCTACAATCATTCAAATTCAAGGTTACTGAAAATGTAAGCAGGTGTATTCGGGACACGAGAAGTGTGTGTTGTTTGGCTAGTTGGTGCGACATAATACTCAAACTTGAGCTGCACTTATTACACGAACTTGAAAGCGCAGTTTAAGTATGAATAATATTTGGGATGCATCTGACTTCTACTAGGAGATGAAGAATGTTGGCATTTGTAACTATCCAAAAGCAAACGTTTGGTGCTTCTGCTCTATACACCGTTTCGCATGATGATGATATGTGGGGTTTAACGTCCTAAAACCACCATATGTTTATGGGAGACGCCGTAGTGAAGGGCTCCGGAAATGTACCACATGGGGTTCTTTCACGTGGACCCAATTTAGAGCACACAGGCATACAGCATTTTCGCCTCCATCTAAAACGCAGCCGCCGCAGCCGGGATTCGATCCCACGACCTGCGGGTCAGTAGCCGAGTACCCTAGAACACCACGGTGGGGCTACACCGTTTCGCATTACGTGTGTCACTAATGTCATCGGATGACGCTGTATGCCACGAATATTGCGCACACAAAAGCAAACAGTAGGCATTACGCAAACAGCTCTATGCACCTTGTCCGTTAATTCACAGGCCAACTCCAGAATAGGTAGAGTAGCATTCACCTCTCCAGAAAATCAGGTAATCTCGGGTGATTTATTCCTTGGCCCCAATGGACCATCTGTTGCTTGCTCGCCTACACCACGAACACGATGCAGAGTGGGCTTGATCTGAAGCGAATGGCTCAAACATTTTGCAATGGCACAATCTTTCTATACAATTCACTTACGTTCATATTATTAAGACTCATATTTTTCGCACAGCTATATATTGCAACAACGCTTGCAGTATATTCAGCACCAATAGGCAGAAAGGTGAGAGTTCTAAGGCGTGGTCTGTAGAAAAATCTATTAATAGCACCCGCTGATAATGGAGTGCCACTGTAATTACATCACGTTGTTTACATCTGCAGCAATCCTAAATAAAAAGAAAGTCAAGTTTCTGGAGCTGTAACTATAGCAGCTAGACCTGTAGAAGCTGACTGCACTCACGTCTATCAGTTCTTGTTAAACATAGAACAGGGAGATGCTGGGACTATGTAGACACAGTTCGTGCCGCTACGTCCCTCCACTAAGCTATAGAAGCCGTGCTTCGTGTGAAGATTGCTATAGAGTTTGAAACTTGTTAGATGGCCTTTTAGAGATGGTAGGTTACTAATTCATTCATACTGTACAGCTGTGTGGGTACGACTTTCTTGCCGAAAATTTCTTCAATTTCATCGAGTGTCTTCCCTTTAGTATCGGGTACAAGTACTAAAAATGCAAGGAACGTTACGGCCAGTAGTGAGCCGTAGAACCAATATGCGGCTCCAGTGCCTACTAGGTGCACTAAGTCTGCAAACGTCTTTGTTATGAGGAAGCCAAAGCTGTAGAAGAGGACGACGCACACAGAGGTAGCAATGCCTTTGGCCTTCAAAGGTATCAGTTCTCCGACGAACACAAAGGGCAATGGGCCGAGCCCAAGGGAGTAACCAATAAAGTACAGCACAATAGACACCAATGGAAGCCAACTGTAGTTGTCCAGAAAGCTTTGGCCATTGACGTCTTTCAGGTGGAAGCACAGGCCCAGCGCTGCTAGACTGGCTGCAGAGAGTGCGGTAGAAAATACGAAGAGAAGCTTGAGCCCTGCTCTGTCAGCAAGCAGGGTGGCGACCAGGAAGAATAACGCCAGTATTCCACCAACAACGATCGTGCAGTCGTCGGGAGCCATGGCGACCCCGGCTTCTCGGAAAATGTCTTGGGCGAAAAAGAGAAGAATATTGACGACTGACACTTGCTGCATGAATAGGGAAAGAAGGGCGCACAGAAAAGACTTGTAGATGTAAGGCTGCGTCAAGTCGCCGAGGGCGAGGCCTGAAGACACGTTGGTGACACTGCTTTCCATCGCCTTGAACTCATTTTCTACGTGCGAGTCCCGGTAAAACTGTAACGCTTCCATGGCCTCTTTGCGGCGCCCCTTTTGCAGGAGCCACAATGGCGACTCCCGAACGTAGAGCAAAAAAGAGAGGCCGCTGATGACAGCTGGCACTAAGCTGGCTGCGGCGAGCCACTGGTAGTTGAGCCACTTGCCCAAGACGTAGCCCACGAAGATTCCCAGAGCGAGTATGAAGTTGCAGCCCGTGTTCAGCGCTCCCCGCAGGCTGGTAGGGGCCACCTCGGCCACGAACACCGAGGACGTTGCGGACATGACGGCCACTCCTGCACCAGTAAGGAAGCGGCCAGAAAAGAGGAGACCCTTAGAGTTGGCGGAGGCGAGCAGTATCCAACCGGCCGCGAACAATGCAGCCGCAACCACCGTGGATCCCTTGCGGCCTATCAAGTTTAGCAGCTGCCCTGTGGGTAGAAAAAAAGTAACGTCAGTGTTCCTTGTGCATGGATGACCTGCGGCACTTTTCATAAGGGTATACTACATTTACCACTATTGGTCGTATTTGATTGAGAGAGGGACTGCTTTCTGGACTACTTTACCGTACTTGTACTAATGCGTACTGCAAGAGAAAACTCTTAATGAGTGTTAATAATGAAATTGCTGAGAAGTATGCGACCACAACAGCTGTCCGTTTCTCAAAAGAAAAAGGGTTGCAGGAAATTACCCTTTTATTACAGATAACAGTGTGATGGCGTGAAAAATCACCCGAGAAGCCCCTTTTTAAATGTTGGTTAGGTTTAGCACTGTAAGACGCCGATATCGACATTTTAGAACTAGCCCAAACTTGGAAATTGCTGAGATGAAGAAAACGACGAAGACTGCACGTGTCGGCCCGATCATGACAGCAACACCCGACTAACTATGGTCAGCTTGAAGAACCTTCTATGTTAGGAAATCCTATGACACCCTTTTTTTTTGCAGCCCCGCTGCTCCTTATACCAAAACACCTCCACTTGACTGTTCTCCACATACTTAATGACGTTCCGACTGCTGGTCACCTTGGCGTGTTGGACAGTGCTGGTCACCAGTCGGTCACCTTTTTTTCTATAATTTTTGTTAATACTCTTTATAGATTTTTTGTTTGTATCGTATTAGATTTTGCGTTTCTTAAGTCTTCATATTGCCATTTTGGGTGTATTATCCGCCACGTTGTCACATACAGGCGTCCCACTTCAGTCTGACTACGTGACCTTCATCTATGTTCCTACATGCACTTGTTTCTTTGTTTGATGTGAAATAAACGATTGTGATTCTGATTCGTGCACATATGAGAGAATCCGTCGACTCCTCTTTTCACCAGGGCTTGCACGCTCAGTCGGAAGATACGCTATGACTTGTGAAAATGTCAGTGTCACAAACCACCACGGAAGCTCCCCGCACGATACCTTCAACCACTCACTGTTTCGTCCGCACCATTTTTCCGCGTTGGCTCATACTTACCTGGCTCCTTTCCTCTGCCTTTCCTCGGCAACGGATCGATAGCTGTGGCCACAGGTTACACCGCGTGCTACGCTATCACACCAGCTCTTCTAACAAGCTGCGGAACAGATGTGGCCAATTTACGTGACCGTGCACTCTGGGACTTCAAGCGAGCTGCTTAGAAACAGTAGCCACACTTTTCTATCGAGACTCATAGTGGACATCATGCAGCCATGTGTAATAAGGAACAAGCTCACTACATCGCACCATCCGCAGACAAACGGCCTCGCAGAGCGTATGAACCAAACACTTGCAGCTATGCTTGCAAATTGATTTGATTTGATATTTGGAGTTTAATGTCCCAAAAGCACCACATGATTATGAGAGACGCCGTAGTGGAGGGCTCCGAAAATGTAGACTACCAGGGGTTATTTAACATGCACCAAAATCTCCGCACATGGGCCTACAACACTTTCGCCTCGATCTAAAATGCAGCCGCCGCAGCCAGGATTCGGCCCCGCGACCTGCGGGTCAGCAGCCGAGTACCCTAGCCGCTAGACCGCCACCGCGGGGCAGGTATCAATGCTGAGTATATTTCTTCAGGCCACTTTGACTGGAACCTGCCTTGGGGGGGGGGGGGTATGGTATTCGGCTGCTGACCCGCAGGTCCCTTGATCGAATCCCGGCGGTGGCGGCGGCTGCATTTTAGTTGGAGGCGGAAGTGCTGTAGGCCCGTGTACTCAGATTTGGGTGCACGTTAAAGAACCCCAGGTGATCAAAATTTCTGGCGCCATCCACTACGACGCCTCTCATAATCACATGCAGGTTTTGGGACGTTAAACCACATATAAATCAATCACTCTGGCTGGGACCTTGTTTAACCGTAACGTGACACGTGCCTACAACTCTTCGCGCCTCGAAGGGCAGGTTATTCCCATTTTTTTTGTTCCTGTCGTTCAGCCGAGAAACAACCTCAATACGGTAATTCCATCTCCAGCAGCAAAGCCAGCGAATATGTCCTTGACGCAATTACCTGGGCTGAGCATTGCCGGGAAACAGCCCGTACTGACAATCGGACCTCGCATGAGAACCGATGGTGTTTGTGCTATCGGAGATACAGGGCCGTGTACTTTGAGCCCTGTTCTTTGGTTATGCTGTGATCCCTGAGCCGTCGCGTTGGCCTGTCAGAAAACCTGCTGCCTCGGTACACAGGCCCTTATCGAGTGTTTCATGCGGTTACTCCCGTAACATATAAAATAGATCCTGTCACCTCGTCGTCTCCATTCTCACCGCAGACCAGTGATATCCTACACGTAACACACTCTCATCGTACAAGGTGCTGTAGAACTTTCCCAGTGGTGTTGACGTCGAGCAGCTACATTATGCTACTTGCATATGGCCATGGTTTCTGAACAATGCGCGTGTGCACCCGACGAAGAGAAGTAAGATGGTGTTGGAAGTAACTGGCCGTGCTTGCTCTAGGGTTTTGGCCTACGTTTATGTAGTTGCTGAGGTTTTTTTTTGTCTTTGTTAAGTGTTCTTATAATGCTTTCACAGTTAGGTAAGCGATTCTAGCGCTAGAAAGAACACTCAGATGCTGTTTTCTTCACTTGGACTAGGGGTTTTGCTCTGGTCGGCTTCTCTTCCGCCACAGGAGATACCAGTGGACCAGTTTCTGCAAAACGGCATCCCCGCAGTTCCTGTGGCCCTCGTCCCAAGTAATGAAGGCTTCATTCGGATGAAGAATCCGAAAGTGGCCCAGGTGGAGCTTAGAGCTGCGACGTCTCACTTCCACAGCATCCCAGAGTTCCGCCAGTTCGGCAGAGGCGGTATTCTATGTTTTTCATCTGATCAACTCTGTGTCCAAGACTTACTGAAGTGCTCGAGTTTCGCGACGAATCCGGTGAGCGCCTTTATTACCCCGCATCTGACATGTGTGAAAGGTATTGTTCGCGGCGTCGATGTTAACTTGACCCCGTCTGAGGTATTAGAGATGTTTGCCGTGACTTGTTTCATCTCCGTTTATAGGTGTGCACGACTGGTAGAGAAGCAGAACATCCCGACTGAGTTGGTAATTGTAACCTTTGCTGGAGCGAATCTCCCAAGCGCAATCAAGACGTGACTACTAATATACAAAGTGGAACCGCTATCACAACGACCACTCCAGTGTACGAAGTGCTGGTGATATGGCCACACTATTAAAGGATGCAGGTCAGCACTCAGAAGCCGCGTTTGTGGTGACAAGCAGAAAGCGAATGACTGCAAAGCTGAAAAAAAGAAATGTTGTCTATGCAACGAACAACACTGTGCAGATAGTGCTGATTGCTCAGCTAAGGCTCATTAAATACAAATTTTGAAATTACAGGGCGTAGCTAGCGCTGTTCGCGACGAGAAGCCATAGAGGAAATACATGTAGGCGAGAACTCAGGGGTATGCCAGAGATGCGGCACGACATATCTTGGAAATGAATGGGTCGATTTCCCTGTATATCGTGGAGGTCGCAGAAAAGGCTGTAGAAAAGGCCATGGAATGACTGGCTTCTAACCTTTGTGATTCTCTATATCAAATTCTGGCTAACCAGATGACTTGTATATTTGGTACAACGGGAGACTCAGGCCTAGTATCCCAACATGTTGAGAGTTCACGACCAATTACTGAAGTTGAATCTGAAACCACACCATCGTATTCTGCATCTGCAGCACCCTCTGCAGTAGATATACAGAGCCAAAGTGAGGATAAAGATGCATATACAATAGATTCAGATGACATGGATTGGGACCCTAGGTCCCTGAAGCGACCTAGATCCCCTCTGTCAAGGAAAACTAACTCACCAAAACAGACAAAGAACAAAAAGTATCTGAAGGAAAAGGAGAGCCTTTCAAAGAGTGACATTTCGAAACAATGCATTCTAGATCAAGCTGTAGCAGAAGCAGCTCTTTCAAAACCGCAGGGTCGCTTAAGATTCTCCATTGGAATTGCCATCAATTTAATCTGCATCTACAGATTCGGTATACTTGACTTCTAAATTCGCTCTCGATATTATAGCATTACAAAAGACATGGCTATCTGTACATAACTTGTTCCAGTTAAATAACTTCCAGTTTTTTCGACTAGATCGTCCATTGAGAGGTGGGGGTCTAGCTTTCTTTAATAATAATAGAATTAGTCTGAAAGTCAAATATTCATACAAACATATGTTCGCCAGAATGCGAAATTTTGGTAGTAGACATTACATTACCCAACTGCAGTCCTTTCACGTTAGTTAATATTGCCACGCTGTGTTGGTGGCAGAAGACGAGAGCGAAGAAGTGAATGGCAGCTGTGGCTGAGCAAACAGTCCTCCACTTCGAGTTCCTGCCTATCATTTCCTCTCGCGACAGACTGGTGGAGGTGCTGGGTACTGTACTGCAACGTCTTATGCCTGCTGGTCCTGAACCAGAAGAAACCACCACCAGTGCACCAGGATCTGCTGATATCTATCGAAGCAGCCGCCGCCTTCAAGGGCTACCACCACAGTACGGCCCCTTGGCAATTTCCGTGAGGACAATGTTTGCCACATCCGCAACCCAAACCGAGCATGACCCACTCGCTAGCGTACCCTGTGTCATCAGCACGCCTCGCACACTCAACCCATTCCACGGAGACGCCGGTGAGGATGTCGAAGACTGGCTTGACCATTTCGACCGGGTCGCTGCCATCAATGACTGGGGCAATCGCCGTAAGTTGAAGAACGTGTATATCTCCCTCTTAGACACGGCAAGAGTGTGGTATGAGAACCACGAAACTTCATTCACAAGTTGGCAGGAATTCCATCGGCAGCTTCGCGAGGCGTTCTGTAACCCCGAACGGAAAGAGAGAGCGGAGCAGGCACTTTCTTTGCGATTTCAAATGCCGAACGAGAGCGTCGCCATGTTTGTCGAAGAAATGTCGCGATTGTTTCGACGGGCTGACCCCCACACGCCTGAAGACAAGAAAGTGCGCCTGC